GAGAGAGAGAGAGAGAGAGAGAGAGAGAGAGAGAGAGAGAGAGAGAGAGAGAGAGAGAGAGAGAGATTACAGCCAGAGGTTACATCGGGCATAGAGCCTAGGATCTGATTCAACATTTTTGAGGCACACATTGATTGGACATTCGGCTGGGAGGCTATTTTCGGACGTCGCTATCGCGATCTTGGTCTTCCCCCTCCTCACCATCTTTGTCTCGCCTCTCCCCCATCTTCTCATCCGCGGTATCTCCCCCATGTGCGTGTTCAAGGAGGGACCTTTCTTCCATGTACGTGGTCCCTCCTCCCTCTCTCACGTGTGGTGTATGATGGGGTGTCATGTCAGTATTTGACAGGTCAGGTCATATCTTTGAGTCTTCCGCTGCGCTATATTGTGCTATTTTCATATTTATCTGGATGTACATTGCTTGTTGATGCTTTGCTGACGCTGCATTGTCCACGCGAGTCCTTTTCATCACTTTGCGATCCTTGGCTTCATATACATCGCTCAACTTAGCATGTATCACTGTGTGTCTAATGTGTCTCCTGCTGGTGACATACTTTTTTGTTCCTCTGGTGACTTTCTGGCTATTGATGGTGGATGAAACTAGAACCTTCTGGATTTTGCGTTCAGTATCTTCATTGTGAATAGGTCTGGCTATTGATGGTGGATGAAACTAGAACCTTTTGGATTTTGCGTTCAGTATCTTCATTGTGAATAGATGATAATCTGCTTTACTCTCCCTGCCGTGTTGCCTTGCCGTTTGGCAGTGTTTGGCTCCCTCGGGTCTGCCTTGTGGTTGCCCTGTTGCTTTTGTGTCCTTACTGGTTTGCTGCTTCCTTTGCTCCATGCTTGCTTCCCTTCCCGCTCACCTGCCTGCCTGCCTGTGTGCCTTGCCAACTTTGCTGCTTGCTGTGCCACATGTCCGATTTGCTAGTCTGTGCCTTGTTGCTGTCCTGTTCGCCGTCCTCCCTTGTGGTTGCCCTGTTGCTTTTGTGTCCTTACTGGTTTGCTGCTTCCTTTGCTCCATGCTTGCTTCCCTGGCGTATACCTCGTTGCCTTGCTGCTTCCCTTCCCGCTCACCTGCCTGCCTGCCTGTGTGCCTTGCCAACTTTGCTGCTTGCTGTGCCACATGCCCTATTTGCTAGTCTGTGCCTTGTTGTTGTCCTGTTCGCTGTCCTGCTCGCCTGCCTTGTTGGCCTGCTGATTGCCTGGCCGCCTACGTGCCTGCTTGTCTTGTTGTCTTGCTACTGGCCTTGCCACCTAGTGGCCTAGTCTGCCCAATGTCTTGTTGCTTTAGTTCTTGTCTTGTGCCTCCTCACCTTGCTGCCTCCCTCTTCGCTGCCTACGTATTTGAGTTACACCGTGTTGCGTTGATGCTTGTCTTGCTGCCTGCTGGCCTTGCTGCTCGCTTTGCAGACTTTCTTGGACCTTCTCACCTTGCTACCCGCCTGGCTTTTGTCAGTTTGCCTCGCTGCTTGCCATGTCATTCACCTGTGTTATGCCTTCTTCCTTCGCCGCCTATTTTGGCACCGGCTTACCTGCTTAACTTGCTGCTTGCTTGCCTTGTTTTGCTGCCTTGTTGCCTTGCTGCCTGCCTCGCAAATGCCCATTTTTCACCTGGAGTCTAGGCACGGACGGGGGGTTATTACCTGTAATAGCTGAAAATTCAGGAATGAAAATTCTGAAGTGAGAGTTTTGGGCAGTCTGAAAATCCTGAATGGTCCTGAAGTGGTGAAAGGTCCGAAGACCCTGAAAACCACCTGTTTAGGCAGGCTGCATNAAGTGAGAGTTTTGGGCAGTCTGAAAATCCTGAATGGTCCTGAAGTGGTGAAAGGTCCGAAGACCCTGAAAACCACCTGTTTAGGCAGGCTGCATACTGAAGTGGTGAAGTGAGAGTTTTGGGCAGTCTGAAAATCCCGAATGATCCTGAAGTGGTGAAAGGTCCGAAGACCTTGAAAACCACCTATTTAGGTAGGTAGCATCCTGAAGTGGTGAAAGGTCTGAAGACCCTGAAAACCACCTGTTTAGGCAGGCTGCATCCTGAAGTGGTGAAGGGTGTCCTGAAGTGGTGATGAAAAATACGACTGTTGTTAACCTTCTCTCTGGCCGGAGGGCGAAGGATGGTGCTGCAGGGGGGGTTTGCGAGATGAGATTGAATGCATGGTGGTGATGGTGTGTGTGTGTGTGTGTGGTGGGGGGGAGGGGGGGGGTTATGATATTTTGGATCCATGGGAAAGGAAGAGGAGGTGTCAACGGAGGAGGTTATGATGCTTTACAGGGAGCAGTACTACCACCACTATAGCCAGGAGTCCCATGACTATGAGAAGCAGTTGCGCCCACTGATATTCAAACTACTGTCATCATGACGGTGTGCTCCTGCAACCACTACTATGTGCACAAACACTCCACTGCCACAACTCAACCAACCCAACTGGTGCTACATACCGGGACTTCGATTACTGCTGTGGGCATTACCATCACAGAAATCATCTCTACTTCCAGTGCCAAGCATATTATTGCATGACAATTTGAGAGGGACATCAATGCTCTAACATTATGATTTTGATTTCTTTTCTCCATCTTCGCGTGTGTGCAGGCCACGCCCTCTGGCCGAGTTCGACTATCCATTTGTCAGCAAGGAGAAACCATTGCCAAAGGAGGATGTTTCATTGCTACTCAGGCAAAGACTCCAAGCAATCTGCAACTCTATTGTGGACCATATATATGACGTATCCCCTCAAAAGTACAGTAAGTTGAACCCCGAAAGCATCCTTTTGAATGTGCATCTCCTTACATTCTGCAACTTATCCAACAAACCAGAAAGCGGGCACCAAATGCGTGAAGTTGTAAACCCTTTTCCCCTCTAATGGGGGTTGAATTGTTTGGATCTCTCTCTCTCTCTCTCTCTCTCTCTCTCTCTCTCTCTCTCTC